ACAGCATCATCACCACTGTAACACATAAATTCTTCATAGCACCTAAAACCCATAGTATTATGACCCTGGTGTATAAGGCATACCCTATCTGCCCCCTCCATAACCCACAGACACGTCCTCTCCCATTACCTGAACCAATACAAAGGGAGAGGTTCTCCCTAGAGAATATTAACAAATAGCCTTCACCCACATGCCTGCTTATAAGGGATATATGCACCTCCTATGAAACACGGACATTTTCAATGGGTAGATGGAGGCCTTCCCCACCAGATAGAAACAGGCTCTAGAGGTTATAAAAATCCTCTTTAAAAATATAATTCCTGCCCAGGTGGCTATGTCTATAACCTTAGCACTTGGGAGGCTGAGGCAGAAGGATTGTTGTGAGTTCGAGGCCAGCCTGAACTACATAGTGAAACCCTAATAATAATATTAATAATTATAACTCCTAATAATTACAATTCCTAATATTAATAATTAATAATTCCTAATAATTATAATTCCTAATATTGTTGTACTCTAAGAAAATAGCTTCATTATTTTGTGTATTATAGCAAACCTGCAATGTGGCTTACTAAATGTGTTTTTTTTATCCTTTTTCCCTAACTGATATGTTAAGTGACCTAACTGATATGTTGAGCAATACTCTCCTCTGTAAAGAATTGCAAGAATCTCACCTAATTGATATGTTAACCATTGTTGCCCCCTACAAACTACAGAAGTTGTGCTAAAACAAGTTAACAAGGGTTGTTAATCACTGTTAGGCGCCTCTATTCTCTGCTAAAGAGCTAAAGAAAATTTGGATGGCCCACTAATTTACACTTGTTTGAAGTAACTTCCTTGTGTGCAGAGAGATTGGTGTATGAGTTTAACCCTTTACCTGACCTTGATTCCCTTCCCAGAAAGAAAGAAAAACAACCACCGTTTTCTGTTCTGTATGGTGCCTTATTGTCTCCCTCTCCCCTTACGTATCTATCTAGGCTAGGCCATAAAGAATTTGGGTTTCTGGTGACCTCTTTCCGACCCGGTGATGATCTGTCATAAAATGAGCCTGCCCCAATTTTAAGAACTGTTTAGCTTCAAAGAAATTACCGGGAAATACTATGGCCCAAACCCCAATCGGTGCTTTCCTTTTGTTCTGTATGCATCAAATGAGTTAGATATCAGATCTTTGTGAAACTTAAGTTTTAGCTTCTTATAACTTTTGACCCCTTCCCACCTGTTAGTGTTAACGAGCTGTCCTGAGATAATTAGCTTTCTACTTTCTTCTCCAAATGTTATTGCAGATAATTCTTATCTGCAGGATGGGAGTAACTCAGAAGGCGCCAGAGGCTCCTGAGGTTGTCAGAACTAAGTGGACAGCTATACAGTTTCCAGATTCGGGTCAACAAGTTTGATGGCTCTGCAGGTTTCTTTGTCCCCCCCCCCTTTTTTCCTCCAGCCTCTTTTTAAAGTCTTCCCTTCAGTCTCTGACAGGCAGTCTCCAAATTGGCTCCCAGAGACTCATGACCAGGCCTAGAAATAAAGCCTTTGCTTCCCAAATTTCAGTCTCTTGTGTCCTTAAATTTTATACCAGGGTCCGAGTTATAACAATATTAATAATTATAATTCCTTAATTTAGACTCCTGAGCTCTATCTAGAGTAATAGTAGACCCTCTTTCACATCCTAAATCACACCAGGAGTTAGTTATCAAGGCACCGACAATTAAATATTAAATCCAGCTCCATAAAGACCTTCACTGTGAAGAAAGCCAAACTCTCAAACAGACCTTAGCCAAACTGTGTCAAAAACCCACCGTTAGTGACCAGATCTCCTGCCCTAGTCCAAGCTTAACCTCCACCCATTTGGGGTATTTTATGACAGGTCCTTTTAACATCTCCTCTACTCACTGACACTAAAACCTCCTGAAGGCTTCATCATGTGATCTGTTTGAAAACTTTCCAAGCAAGATTCTTCCACTCCCAGAGTCTAACAATAATTGTCAGCCCCAGATCTGCCCTGGTGACCAGGTCCTAGTCAAAACCTAAAAAGAGGCTGGACTCCAAGACCAACTTTTACTCAAATAAAAGACCCTTTCATAGCCCTCCTAACCACTCCTTCTGCCAGTCAGTATAAAAATAGAGTCAGCTTTCCGGGGTAAAACACAAACCACTTGAGACACCAAAAGATAAAAAAGACCACAAATTTCTTAAGCTCACAAACCAATAACCAACATCAAGCTTCTTTCTTAAAAAATAAAAGAACTAATTAATCAAATAAATAAGATTTTACTATCTCTAAATAAATAAATAAATTATATAAATATACTACCAAAGACTTTTGTTACAAGATGTTTTGTTGGGGGCTGGAGATTTAGCTTAGTGGCGTAAGCGTCTGCCTTGCAAGCAGGCAGTCGTGAGTTTGATCCCCGGTACCGATAAAAAGGAAAAAGAAAAAGTAAAAAAAAAAAAAAAAAACCAAGATGTTTTGTTTTATTTTAGTACCGGAAATTGAACTCAGGACTTCGAGCTTGCCAGGGAAGGGCTGTGCCTCTGAGCCGTATCCTTGGCCCTTCCAAGTTATAACATAACATCTTTTAGGTCTTTCCTATTTTCTATCATCCCAAATTATTCAAAAACTACCTCCAATAGAAATAATTAATAATAACTACCTATCACATCTCTCTTCTATCACCAACAACCACCTGAAAACCTAACAGACAACCTAGACCCACTTGAGCAGAACATCGCCTCTTTCAAGACCAAATAGACCCACTGGCGGCAGTGGCTGGACAATATCAGAGGGAACTAAATGTCCTAACAGCTAAGACAAAGGGGCTATGTTTGTACCTAAATAAACAAAGTACTTCCTTTACCAGTGGGTTTAAAATAATGAGATACAACACAAAAACTGGCAAAACCTAGCTTCCAAGATCCATAAAAGCCTATGTAAGTCATGGCCAAATATCTACAACTGGGGGTCCCGATTACTGTCCTAGACATGATCATCATTAATTCTTCTGATACCATTACTATTCAGATCTAAATACATAATCTTTTACTCAAATTTGTTTCTTCTTGTTTGACAGCTGTCATGCTACTGATAGCAGCCATGACTCAAGATCAGACCCTCTTCCACATTCACAGAGCATCAAAAAGTGTTCAGAGGAAAGGCTCAGTTCCCTCAAACTCCCAGATCAGGCAGAGTGAGAGTTCCGTGGTCCCCACATAGGAAGGGCCAGCCCCCTATTCAGCCAGAAATACCTATAGTAAACAAGACTCCACCTTTAGCATCCCTGGAAGATTTCCTGGGATTGGGAGTCTCCGGGGGAATAGCACAGTTAGAAATGAAGGAACTAAATGAGCCTCACCCTTCCCTACATTTAGCTGTAAACTACACCAATTGGTCAACCGTGCTTCCATTTGGGGAAAAAAAGGAAAAGAATAAAATAACAAAAGCCTAAAAGATCACCATGTCCTCGGTGGCAGTACTGACACCAGTGAGAAATCCAGTAAGAGGCACCAAAAGTCAGAGGTGCCTGGCCTTTAAATTCTAGAAACCTAAGTTATCACGGCATTTTTTTTTCTTTTTTTGCCCTTTTCCCTCCCCCGTTCCTGCTACTGCCTTCCCAGGATCCTCAATAAAAGCAGCTATTTAACACTCACTACGGAGCATATGCGTGGCAATTCTTTCCTCACTGTACACAAAAACCTAGACTGTTTCGACTCATTCAGCTATAACAGTTCAGTTCTGTGCTGGGCCAGACCCTGAACCAGGACATTTAAGGTTGATCCAGGTCTACTGTCTCCCTCTTTTCCCCCAGTACTGGACATTTATTGTAATCCCAAATATTGAGTACAGTTAACCAAGTATTGGGATCCCAGCAAGTTAATTTCAATCTACCAACCCACAGTGAGAGTAAGGAGTCCTAAATCCAACCCTCCGTGAGGATGCATGGACAAAGGCCTGACCCTCGGCCTCTCCCAGAATTTATTACCTTGTGAAGAAAGGAGTGGCTTGAGGATGAGTGACAGTGAGGATGTTGGGGGGGGGTTACGTGAGTAATTTGAGCTGGCCAGCCAGATAGGGAAAATAGCATCTCTGCAAAATTAAGAGATAAGGATATGCAGAAGGATCAGTTTGCATAATTCAATTAAGGTAGCAACTAAATTGTTTTAGGAGGCTGTTGCTTGGGTTTCTGATACCTACATTTTTGTGTCCTGGGGAGTCATAGCCTCTCTACCTTGAGGCTCATACCCAGTTGACATTCCTGGAGCTGACTGCCTCAACCATCCCACTGTACTTATATATTTTAGAGAGAACACTATGCCAGGAAACAGGAGACTGTCTGATGGCTTTAGAGATTACATTCCAGTACCTCTGTGAGCCTTATTTGCAATCTTAGAGCCAATTGAAGAGAGAAGGAAACACCATAGCCAGCTCTCTACATATCAGTATAATGAGATCAGTCTGGATATAATCAAAGTTGCAGCAGTTGTTCTGCATTCAAGGGGAGTCACTCCAGTTGTCTTCCACAGACAATGAACCCAGAGATGCATTACCACTGAGCTACATCCCAAACTGTGTACGTGTATGCGTATATGTAGATGTATATATACATATGTATATGTATATGTATATGTATGTTTGAGTCAGGATCTTGCTACATAATCCTGGCTGGCTGGCTTTGAAATCATTATATAGCCCAGGCCAGCCTTGAACTCACTGCAATCCTCCTGCCTCAGTCATGCCTGCCGCTTAGGAGAGGGGGTGCATCATAGGTGGGTAAAGATGCCCATGCACATTTTTGTAATTTAAATATGTGCTGTATCATCACAGAAGCCAGGTGTGCCTCACTGTGGCTGCACCTGGGGAAAACAGGACCACATCTGTGCGTTCAGTCACATGGCAGACGATGGCCAGATGTGTAAATGAGCTCCCACGTGAGTTTACCCATGTAATACTCCTTGTTAAACTTCTGTGCATTTAGGATTTGTTTTTAAAAATATTTTCTTCTCATTTTTCTTGTAGAATCAGTCCAGCTCGGTACAATGGCACATGAAAAACCATATTTACAAGTTTGGGCAGGAGGTCGAAAGCAAGTCTTCAGATGAGCAGAGGACTGATGATGACCATGTTGACCTTTCCAGCCAAAGAGTTTGTGACAGTGAAATGGAACAAGAATTGACTGATCCGGACACAAAAGAGACAGCAATGTGAGTACGTATTCGACCAGGTGAAAAGCAGCAAAACAGCTACCTATTGAAAGGGTTACTGGCCCAGGCCAGATACTGTAGCCAGTAAAGCCAAGGAGCTCCTATCTCCCCCCACCCTTAGAAATTACCTCTGGTGCCAAACTAAGACCAATGGGCTACCTGTGCATCCCTAATACCCCTTAGATTCCACCCCAGGCCAAGGCTACTTATGTGCCTCACTCCATGTGTTCCACGGAGAGATCGCTGGCCCCGGGGTGGAGATGCCACACCCCAGGGGGTTGGGGGTGTCTCTCCCCGCATTCCCAAAATAAAGGTTACTTATATTTTATACTTCTTATCTTTTCAGCTGCCGCCAGTCCTCCTCCTCTTCCTCCCCTCTACAGTTCAATCAGATGGTGCCGTGACTGGGAACAGCAGGTGAGAGACTCCTGGGGCTAGTTCCCAGTTTTGAGTCCCCTGCTGTTCAAGACCCACCAGACTTCATCCTGTAATTCCTCACTTTTACACTCAGAAATTGTATGCTTGACTGCTGCTTCTCAAACAACACCCACCAATTACCACAGGTGAGCAACTCCCCGGAGACAGCCACTGAGCCAGGCTCACGTGTATTTTCTCCCCTCTTTGTGTGGGTTCGTGACCCTTTCACATCTTTTAGACAGCCCAAACCTAGGCCCTCACATTTTTTCCAGAGCTTTTGGGGCTTTCTGGGCAAGCTGATGTCCACTCTGGACAGCCCACACCGAGAGACCCTCACTTTAAAGCTTTTTATATAGCCAATCCGTCGGTCTGGGGTACAGTGTGATGACTTTAAATCCTGACAGACCACGGTCCATTGCCTCATCTGATTGTAGCCCCATGGGCTAGACCCAACACCAGATTTTAAAAATGTGCCCCTTTCCCGCCAGCTTCCCTGTCCCTTTGTCTCCTCCAGGATCCCTCCCTCTCCCTGCACTTAAAGAGATAACAGCTCTTCCTTTGCAGCCTTTCGGAGTTTTTCTCAGTGCCTCCTTTTCTCCCACTGCCCCTCCCCCCAAACCGCACTGCCAGCGTCTCCCTGTTTCCAGGTGGGCACTTCCTCTCCCCCCCACCACGCTGCCAGCTTCCTTTTGTTTCCTGTGCGCACCAACCCATCCCCCGCCGCCGAGATTAAAATGAGACCAGACGATAAGAGATTCACATAAAACTGCTTTAGATTTTAAACAGCTTTTTTTTCTTTTTGCTCTCACATCGCACTCCAATTCTGTGGGCCCCACAGTTTCATGCTCCTCATCCAACCCATTCCACGGCCGCGCCAGCTCATTCGTGTCGGTGCTGGCTCATTCCACCGCCGAGAGATACCCGCGAGACTGTCCACATCACGGGTTCAGCTTTTGGCGCCGCATCCTGGGCCACGCGTCCCTCACTAACGCGCCGGCTCCTACAGGTTGCCTCTCGCTGGCTGCCGGTCTTGTGCCTCTGGGAGCAGAGCCCACTTGGCCTCAGGCTATGTGTCTCCCAGCCCCACCACTGCTGCAGCTCTGCCAGCGTCCCTCCGCATGCTGCCGCCGCCGTCCACTCCCCCCCCATGGTGCCGGGCACACGCTGCCGCCGCCGCCGCTGTCCCTCTGCAGTGCCTGGTGCGCACCGCCGCCGCCATCCTTCCGTGGCGCCAGGCGCCGCCTCTGGTCACCACTGTGGGCCTCCGAGCCCCACCCCCCCATGCACCATCGCAGCTGAAATACGTTATTTCCCTGCGCTGTCTTAGTGCCGTCATAGCAGCTTCTAGGTGGGATCTCTGCCCGCCACTGTGTGCTATGTCCCAGTGTTCGCCCTGCCCACTCTGCATGTTCCATGTCAGCTCGCCCCTGCACACTGTGTGGTGGCGCTCACCCCACCCCAAGCACAACTCTGCTCTCTTCCTACAGGCACAATCTATCTCACAGTTTCAAACTGCCTTAACCACTGCACATTTCCAAAGTCCCGTGGCTCCGCTCAAATATTTTTTTTTTACAATTCAGTTCCACTCAAGGGAGGCTATTTTTTTTATATTAAGCTCCTACATACTTACTTAATTCTACAGATAACTTTTACTATAGTCCAGATCTCAAACAACAAGGCAAAACTTGACCTTCAAGCTCCACAGAGACCTTGATATAGTTTTTCGTATTTTAAATAACACTTACAGTTTTGAGACAGACAAATCTACACAAGGTAAAGCTACCTGCCCTCCCGCCATTGGCCACACTCAAATGCAGCAGAAGACATCAGACAAAAAATGCCCCATCCTTGCATTCTTTGAGACCTTACTCCAGGGCTGTTGGGCTATCCTGGCCACCAGAGAGTGGTTGGGCCATCCTAACTTCTAGCCCTCACAGGTCACTGCCAGATTTGTCACTGACAAAATTGCTGCGACATTCTTTAAAACCTTACTCCAGAACTGTTGGGCTATCCTGACCACCAGAGAGTGGCTGGGCCATCCTAACTTCTAGCCCTCACAGGTCACAGGGGCCAAGGGTCTTTGTGGGTGTCTGTCTCAGAGTCCAGGTCACATTAAAACTCTCAAGGTAAGACATTCTCTATATTCGTGGACATAAGAGACCACATATACAGAGTTCTTACTGAGTTTTTAGGCTAATAAATCCTCAATGTCTCATGGAGTATTAAAGGTCAACCTATGCCAGTTACAAACAGGGCCCATTTTTATACAGGTCCCAGTCCTAAATCTTAAAATGCTTTTATTCCCTTTTAAACTGCCATCCTGGTTTCACATCACTCAGGCCCTAGATCTAACCATCCTTTTGATACTCATCTCTGCCTTACGACTCACAGGTTTTCATGTTTTGTTGTCCACTTTGGTTCTTAATTTCTTACATTCTATTAATGATCATTTTTACAGCAGGACTCTCTAACAGGATTGTCTACAGACTCCAATGTCATATATACCAGACACAAGCCTTACCTACCTACCTTTTAACTTTTATGCTTTCATATGGGGGAATAAGCACCTCTCATAACTTCACTCCTCCTAATCCCACGTTTAATTTTTCAGAATTCTGCCTTGCCATAAAAATGTTCCTACCTCAACATCATCCTGATAGAATTACATGTCTAAATCAAAGATATCTTTCCCTCTACCTCACTTGGGTCCATAAATATGACAGTGCCATGTCTCCTCATAACATCTTGTCTCTTTGTTTTTTCAGTCTAACATACGTGCATTCACCAGTGAAGTTGTCCTGGCTAAAACTCCTGGTACCAGCTTCTACCTAGACATCAACCGTCATCCCGTCAACTCCCCTAGACCCCAGTACAGTGCCCTCAGCCAGCAGGAAGTAGTTAAAGAGAGAAATCTTTGCCCCTTTTCATAATAATCATAAGATGGGATATGAAAAGGTTACTGGCCCAGGCCGGATACTGTAAAGCCAAGGAGCCCCTATCTCCCCCCACCCTTAGAAATTACCTCTGGCGCCAAACTAAGACCAATAGGCTACCTGTGCATCCTTAATGCCCCTTAGGTTCCACCCCAGGCCAAGGCTACTTATGTGCCTCACTCCACGTGTTCCACGGAGAGATCGCCAGCCCCGGGGTAGAGATGCCACACCCCAGGGGGTTGGGGGTGTCTCTCCCCGCATTCCCAAAATAAAGGTTACTTATATTTTATACTTCTTATCTTTTCAGCTGCCGCCAGTCCTCCTCCTCTTCCTCCCCTCTACAGTTCTATCACCTATGTCTGAACAATGCAAAGCTAGAATTAGGTCAGAAAATAATGAGGATCTTGGCAAAAGTGAAACTCACTGGATAGAACGCCAGCACTGCAATTTAATGTTGGAAATTGTAACAGCAGATATGCTACAAGACATTGTGAAACAGAAGAAGGAAGAGAACAAGAAGTCACCAAGGAGCAAGCCCTCCCTGCGATCAGTACTATGTGCAGGCAGCTAGGGGGAGGGCCAGATGCCAGCCTCTTCCAGCATGTGGGCTGGGAGACAAGAAGAGCCAACCTCACCCCACTGCCATAAGGGACCGGCTGATCCAAACAAACCCCTGGCTGCGATGATGGCTGTTGAGATAAAACACAATTTAATGTTTGTAATATTTAGGTTTTCACTGACTTTGCCATCTAAAGCGGGTGGTCTGATCATCTATTCAGAGTATAACAACATACAATGTAGCAGCTATGGGGGAATCTCCTTCTGAAGGTGGTGGCCATTGTTAATTCTCTATCATCTTGGTTTGAAGTCCTGTATCATTTTCATTGTTTTGTTGGATTGAATTTTATTCTGTTTTGTTTTGTTTAATTTTATTGTATCCAATGGCATGGGTAGCCATTTCAAAAATAACAAGATATATTATGGCAGCCATTTGGATTTACTTTTATCTTGTTTTGAAGCCCTTTATTGTGTTCATTGTTTTGTTTTTATTAGTTGTATTCTGTCTTGTTTTGTTTGATCTTTACAATGTCTGAAGGCATCTGCAGTTATTTTGAAGGTAACAAGAGGCATTATGGTAACCACTGTTGGTTTCCTATTGTTTTGAAGTCCTGTGCCACTTATACTGGTTTGTTTTGATTGGCTTTATTCTATTTTATTTTTCTTGATTTTATACTCTTTAAAATAAAAATAAAATATATTATGAAACAAATAATACAAGTAAATGTACTTGACATTGCATGTACCAGTAGTCATACTTGAAAATGTTCATTATGACATCTCACTATCTGAACTGAAGGCATTCATAAGTCTGTTGTACTTACCAGGATTTTCACTTGGTAGTCACAAGAATGTAAGACTTAGATAGGTGTGGGTTTAAGGTTTGTAGAATAATGATGACACTGAGATTTGGCTTCTAAGAACACACACAGATAGAGAGAGAGAGAGAGAGAGAGAGAGAGACAGAGAGAGAGAGACAGAGAACTGATAATCTGATTGCTATGCATTGTTTAGGGCAGGGGATACAGCTCAGCAGTACAGAACTTGCCTGGCAAGTTTGAAGTCCTGAGTTCAATTCCCAGTACCAAATAAACAAAAAATATATATGTCCTGGGCTGGGAATTTAGCTTAGCTGCACAAGCATCTGCCTGGCAAGTGCATGGTCATGAGTTTGATCCCTGGTTAAAAAAAAAAAAAAAAAAAATATATATATATATATATATATATATGTGTGTGTGTGTGTGTGTGTGTGTGTGTCTTCACATCCTGGTAGATGGTGTAATGTTGACATTAGCAGTACCACATTGTTTTTCTTTGCCATACATGAGGCCAAAGTTATGTCTCTCTGAAATCCAAAGATCATACTATACAACTTTTTACACATCCTAGTAGATGTGAAAACATATTATACTTTCTTTTTTTTTTTTTGAGACAGGGTCTCACTATGCAGTTCAGGCTGGCCTTGAGCTCACTTTGTACCTAGGCTGTTCTCAAACTCACAACGATCCTCCTGCCTCAGCCTCCCAAGTGCTGGGATTACAGGCATGAACCACCACCCCCGGCTCTACATATTACACTTTCAATTTACAAGTTTATTATGGGACTCAGCCACTAGGTCTTTATTCCTGTAGTAATAAAACTAATGATGCTTTAAATGGACTTGTTGCTCTTATCTCCTAAACTAATTGGAATATGACATTCAACAATTGGTTGATCAGTTACCCATTGATGTTGCATTTGCTGAGAAAGCGATAGTGGACCCATAGTTGGAGCTATACACAAGAACAAACCAAAACTTCCCAAAGAAATGTTCCAATTTCAAAATAGAGAATTTTAAAAAAGGAAAAATAAAATATAGAATTGTATAGTATGATCTTATGGATTTCAGAGAGACTGACATTGGCCTCATGTATGGCAAAGAAAAACAAAGTGGTACTGCTGATGTCAACATTACACCATGATGGTAAGACTGACAGAAATACCTCAACACAAATGAAGCCAGAGACAGTAATTGTTTACAACCAAACCAAAGGTGGAATAGATGTTGTTGATGAATTAATTACGCAGTAACTACAATATCACTCAAAACACAAAGCATTGGCCAATGATTATGTTTTCCTCAATCTAAGCATGTCTGGCATAAATAGTTTGATAGTTTACAAAGAAGATAACAAGTGCAAAATATCATGGAGAAATTTTCTTAGTGAATTGAGACTGGCACTGATAAAAACATCAGTGACAACCAGGGGAGAACAAAATGTTTCTGCCCAAGGAACTATGCAAAAAAATTCTAGAGAAGATTGGTGAATAGAAAGGCCAACACACAGGTGCAACGTCACAAAGACCTATTAGGACAATAGAAAAATGAAAAAGATATCAAAAGATAGCTGCCCTACAGAAAAGGACAGGATAACAAACCTACATGCTCTGGTATAAGCATAGGAACATGTGTATGAAACAGGCAGTTGTATATGGAACATGCAGTTGTCATGTGTGAAGACTGCCTCGGGTATGACAGTTGAAGCAAAGATTATTTCTGTGGTAGACTTTTGTTTGTATTTTCATTGTAGTTCACATGGGAATTTATTTCTGCTTTTATTTTTTTTATTTTTGTCTTTTTTTGAGACAGGGTCTCTCTTTGCAGTTTAGGCTGGCCTTGAGCTCACTTTATAGTCCAGGCTAGTCTCAAACTCGCAACGATCCTCCTGCCTCAGCCTCCCGAGTGCTGGGATTACAGGCGTGAGCCACCATGCCCGGCTACTGCTTTTATTTTTTAGGTTTTGTAAACAAGTAAATGATTGACACTGAAAATGTGCCTAGCTAAGTGCAAGGTCCTAAGTTTGATTCCTGGTACTCCCCTCCACCAAAAAACAGAAAATGTTGCTGGGGACTTAGCTCAGCAGCATAAGCATCTGCCTGGCAATTGTGAGGTTGTGAGTTCGGTCTCTGGTGCCACACACATACACACACACACACACAAACAACAGAAAATGTTAATGCGTATTCTAAACACTCTTTATAAACTAAAAATTTAATATTTCATTTTATCGATCTGTATTTTCCTGTTAAGCACACATTGTTTAGTAAAACTCATAAAATTAAAATTACTAATTCATCAATAGAAACATTTCTAAAGCATAAACGTGGCCATTATACGCTTCCCTACCCCATAATGCACCTTTCAAAAAAAATGTCAAATGCTCCCCCCGCTGGACAACATCTCAATCTTGGGTTGAGTTTTGTCAACCTTGCTCCAAGGTCTGGACATAGAAAAATGGGTTGGTGGCTCTTTAAAAGGCAGTAACTACCTCGGGTTGCCATGGAGACAGGTGGACCGCAGAAGGCCTGAGGCAAACAAAATGTCCTCCACAGCTCACTCTGCAGGTGGTGAGAAGGCTTTGGTGGGGGGGGGGGCTGGGCGCTCTTCTTCCCCTTGCTCCCTGGGGGTGGTCTTGGTGGATTCAGCTCTTGGGGCCAAGGCCCAGGACTCAGATCCCTCTCTCTTCCCCTGCTTGTCTCCCCTTAGCTTCTCACTTTGTAGGTCCCATAGCCAAGGACCACTTGCCCTCAAGCCAGGAGCATCCTCCACTTCCACGGCCAGAGGCCAATGCTGAAGCTGTCAACTTCCTCAGCTCCTTGAGTGAGCAAGTAGGGGAGTGAGGGGAGTGTCACAAGCTCCAGGGAACAGAAGGCCCAGATGGGCTCTTCTCTCAGCTCGACTGAGAAAAGGCGGAGGCCTATGGTCACTTTTCTTCCTGGGACAATCACAGGGCTGGGGGTGGGGTGGAACCCTCATCCACTGCTCCCACTGTCGCCAGGGAGGGGAGCCAGGCTTCCAGAGTGCATGGCTTATTTGTTCCCAACCCAACCAGGGCTGAAGGAGTTGCAGATGCTGCTTTTCTCTGAGACACTGGTCATGGTCTCCGACGGGGGCGAGCACCAGGGAGAGCTGACTATTGAGGTGCAGAGTGGAAAGTACAAGGACCAGCAGGGGCTCATGTCACACTGCCTCATCGTGCATGCTGGGAGCCACAGCGTCTTGGATAAAACTGTTTGTGGAAACTCTGTCCTGGGTAGGATTTGGGCTTCTTACCCACCATTCTCCATCCGCTCCCTTCCCAGGGTCTCTGTTTCCAGCATCCTGCCCTTTGACTTGCCTGCAACAGGATGAGACACAGGGGAGGTGGGACAGGGATGTCATTCACAGCGTCAGGGCCAGCGATGCCAGCCTTTGCCTCCTGCACCCAGGCTACCTCTCATGGAAGCTGGAGCCCTTAGAACAACACAGCCGTGAGTTCATCAAGGTACCTCCTCAGGGTCCCCAGCCCGTGTTCCTGAGTCAGGGTGAGAGATCGAAGACTCTGTGATGGATCAAGGGGGGCCCCAGGGAAATATTACATTTGCTGTCTTCTGTCACTCTGCCACCCTGTCACTGGCAACTGGAGAACCCATTCATCCAGGACACCGAGGTCAGCAGCAGTTGTCACTGCAGACATTCTCCCAATGCACAAGTGGAGCCTAGCCCTCCTGTCCCAGCCTGGTGTCTGCCTGGAGGCCCTGTCGCTGACCTTCCCCAGAGCCTTGTGGCTCCCCCAGGGCCTGTCACCTTTTACTTTTGCATCCCTTGCCCCAGCCCCAGCCTCTTCACTAACTTCAGGAATATGGCCTTGATTTTTCTACACACTGAAAACCCTTGTGCCTAAGACCTTCCCAGAGTCCACACCCATCTTTTAAACCTGTAGCCTGAGAGGCACAGCATTTTAGCATTCAATTATACCATCATGTGGCCACGCTCTATGGTATATGGAAGGTTTTCTTGCTGTTTTTTAAATGACAACCTTCAAAGCTTAGGACTGGGGAGGTAGCTCAGTTAATAACATTGGGCTGGCATTGGCATGCTTAAAGGTCTTGGGTTCAATCTCCAGTACTGTGTGAAAACAAAATAAACAAAAACTTTAAACCTCCAGGGGGTCCATAATTCTCCCCCGCATGCTCTGGCCTTTAGTTCCCCATGCTCCCCATGGAGCAGAAGACGAGTTTGCTGAAGAAAGATGACCAGCTGGTCATGACCAGAAGCATCAGGGAGGGTGAGGTAAGGGCAACGGCTGTCACATCCCCCTCTGAAGCACAGGCAGGGACTGGGTGGGTGCGGAGACTGGCTGAGGCCAGGAGTTTGGACCAAGGCCTTCCTAAAGGACCACGTGCCCCACACCCAACTTATCCACCCTCCTGCTTCCTGCTTAAGGCCCCTCACCCAGATCTGTCCTCAATAGGAAGTGAAGACCAGCAGGACTTCCTTCCCTTGGGACTCAAATGAGGGCTTCATCTCCGAGGCTGCCAACCTGGTGCTGCTACGGGTGATGGCCTGGCGTCAGATGGTGCCCAGTAATGCCCGCTTCCTGGCCCTGGACACTGAGGGCAAACTCTGCTGTTCCACTTATGTATGAGATCTCCTTGGGCAGGGGACTTGTCCTGGGTGCCATGTGGAAGGGAAATGTGGGAGAGGGATAAGACAGCAGTAGAAAGGGAGTTGTGGTGAGGATGGGACTGAGACCTCCAGGGCAGGAGCAACCAAGAAGAAAACTTGTCAGAGAGATCGAGTGTGGGGCATGCGGAATGAATGGGGACAACTGAGCGAAGCAACCTTTTTTTGCACGTGTTGGTCCAGGAAAAGCAAACACAGCGAAGGGCTTTGAAAGAGACATCACACAGGCTTCATACATGCTAGTGACCCAACATTTAGTTATAGCTCAGGCCCTTGTATTTTTATTTTTTTATTTTTTTGAGACGGTCTTGCTGTGTAGCTCGGGTTAGTCTTGAACTCACCATGTAGCACAGTCTGACCTTGAACTCCCCGAGGTATTCCTGTTTCAGCCTCCCAAACGCTGGGACTAGGCATCTGCCACCATGCCTGGAACAGTCTGTTTCTTTTTCTTGTTTTGTCTTTTTGAGACAGGGTCTCACTATGCTGGCCTTGAGCTCACTTTGTAGCCCAGGCTGTCTCAAACTCACAACAATCCCCAAGCCTCAGCCTCCCAAGTGCTGGGATTACAGGCATGAGCCACCATGCCCAGCTGCTGGAACCATCTGTCTCTTTGAACAACTTTGTAAATTGCCTTCTAGTGTTTTCTGTCACAAACACAACCGACAGCAGTGTGTTTAACATGAACAAGCACATGCCATTGCTCCCCATTTTCTTGGAGACCTCTGTCCAGCGTTAGGTCTTGTCTCTCCATTTAATTGTGACAGCAGTAGCACAGATCTGAGGCCACCACAAACCTCAGTCCTGTCTTAACCTTCAAGCCCTCACTACCTCACCTAGCCAACCCCAAAGGCCTGTCCCCCGACTTCCCCTCCCCACAGGTACCCTTATCCCTGTAAGAGCATCTAGAAGCACCTGTGATAAGATTGTAGGGCATCCAAAAGATGAGAAGTATAAAACAAAAGAGGCCTTTATTCCGAGAACTCGGAGAGAGAAAACAAACCCCACCACCACCACTGAAGTCTGGCTTTCTCTCTGGGGGACATGTGGAATGGGGACATATAAGTAGCCTAGGTTTAAGGTAGTGCCTGAGGGGCATTAGAGATGCACAGGTATCTCATTGGCACTCGCTTGGCACCAGGGGAAAATTCCTAGGGATGAGGAAGATAGGGCCACAGGTAAATTCCTAGGGGTGGGGGAGATGGAGCTCCTTGGTTCCGCCTCTAATGCTTTACCGGCTACAGTGTCCTCTCTGGGTCAAAAGCCTTTCAACCTGGTCACTGAGATGCCACAGAGAGGGTTGGACAGGGCAAGCTGGAGCTGGCTGGCTGTGAGGGGTCCTCAACTTAGCTTGGGGGTCTGGTCAGCCATGGGCTGCTTATTACTAGTGAATAAGCAATGAAGACCTGAGCAAGAGGAGGAAGAAGAGGAGGAAGCAGAGAGGTGGGGAGAAAGGGCAGAAAAGGGGAAGAGGAGGAGGAGAGGGCCAGGCTGAAATGGGGGAGACCTTAGTGATCCCCACCTCAGCACCCTCCCCTCCCTCCATTTTTTTGACTGCAGCAAGCCCTAGGCTTCCAGACAATCCAGATGGGCCACCAGGAGGCCCAAGTGTTCATCGTGGAGCAGACCGTGCACTCGGAGGGCATCCCCATGGCCTGTCAGTTCTACCTGCTTTCTGATGGGTGAGGGACTGAGTATGTTGGAGGGGGTGGCACCCAGGACTTAGTCTACTTCCTATTGCTGTGACAGAATACCCCTCCCTCCCAAAAAACCCAGAGAAAGAATACTGAGAACAGCAACTTAAAGGAAGAAAGTTACCTCAACCCATGGTTCCAGGAGTTTCGTCCATGGTCAGGGACCTCCATTGCTTTCAGGCCATGGTGAAGCAGAGACATCATGGCCCAAGGGCAAGGCAGAGGAAAGCTGCTCACTTCACAGCAGCTGGGAAGCAGAAAGGAAAAGGGCCAGAAAAGCAGGGACGAGGAACCAGGTATACTATAAATGGCACAAAGGGAAGACTGGCGGTTTCTGGGGACACCACCAGGGAGAGTTGCGATTGAGATCTAGGTGTCCCCTACTCTACCCACATCTCTCACCCCTTCTTCATTCATACTGGCTCCTTGAGAGCCTTCCACACCTTCTCCCCAGACAACCCTGCCTGGCTGAGGAACTACCTGCCAACCCTGCCAGGCTGGGGCACAGCAAAGCAGCACCCAGGCTATGGAAATACTGAAAATACCAAGTTTCCAGTGGCTGGACAGGGAGCTCACCAACATGCTGAAGCAGTGGTCCGGAACCCCAGCAAGCTGTCACCAGCACTGCACTGGCACCAAAGCAGGAAAAAATGCCAGCAGGGAGAGGACTTTATTTCTTGTCTTGTAATCCACAAACGAGCCCCCAAACTCGAGTTTAAAAAATGAGGCAAAAACATATTTTAAAAAGCAGTGCTGATTTATTTTATCTTGGGCCCAGCGACATAGTGCAGTTGGAGATTGCAAAAGCTGGGTGTGTGTTGCTCCTCTATACTTGCCACCTTTAAGTACATATCACAATTTACAAAGTAAGGGGTTCTGGGTGTGGATCGGGAAAACTATTAATGAGGAAGAACTTTGTTTTCCTTAGAAGAGAACAGAGCAGTCTAGCAGTAATGAACAACCCCTGTTAGCTTATTTTAGCACCACATCTGTTATTTGTAGAGGGCAACAATGGTTAACATATCAGTTAGGTTAGGTTTTACAATTCTTTACAGAGGAGAGCATTGATTAACATATCAATTAGGTCACCCAGAGGAAAAGAAACACGCATATGGAATAGTAGGCCACATTACAGGTATTTTGGTATAATACAAATATAACGAAGCTCTTTTTGCTAGTGTGCAACACTTGAAATTTCAGAAGCAGTATCAACCAAGATGCTGTCCTGGAAGACGAAGTAACAAGAATATTGTTGGCTTTTTTTTTCAGTTCATAACTTAGCATTTCTATTTGTTTGCATGTCTCATGTATAGCAGGAGGCCCTGTGATTTTTTTGTGCTTACCTCTGAAGATCTCAGCACTTTTTAAAAATTTACTCGTTTATTGGGGCTGGGAATTTAGCTCAATGGCATAAGCGCCTGCCTTGCAAGCAGGCAGTCGTGAGTTCAATCCCTGGTACCGATAAAAAGGAAAAAGACAAAAAAAAAATTACTCGTTTATTTATTTATTTTTTAAAGCAGAACCCTGATGCTTGCCAAGCCCTGTGTCAATATCTGGAATATGACTCAGGAACTCAAAAGACCAGAAGGGGAGGCCAAAGTAAACAGGCGTCCAGGACAGCCCTTAAGGGGGCGCTATGGTGTCTTAGCTGCCAAAACCCCTACAGCCTGCATGCTTAAATAACAGCTATCTGCTTTCTCAGTTCCCAGGGATGGTAGTCCAAGGTCATGGTCAGCCGAGTTGGTTTCTGGCTGGGCCTCTTTTTCCTAGACAGCCACCTCCTAAAGCCTGGGTCCTTTCTTCTGCATGCAAGTGGACAGAGAGCTCTCTGAGAGTGTCTTCCCCTTCTCACAAGGATGCCAACCCCACCTGATTAAGACCCCACCTTTGCGACCTCACTTAACCTAAATCCAGTCCTTAAACACCTATCCCCATAGGGAGAAGGGGGGAGGCTAGAGGTTGGCGCCCGAGGTGGAAGAAGGCTCACTCTGCCCTCCTTTGCGTTGTTCCCCAGGCACCTGGCGAAGAGAGTCCAGGTGGGCTCCCCAGGGTGCTTCGTCATCACCAAGATGCCCATCTTGAGGGAGGAGGGTGAGTGCAGCCCGGGGCTGGGGCAGCTGCCGGGAGGGGAAGGGACGCAGGGCCCTGGGCCATGGGTTTGGCAGCATGAGTGTACTTAGGATGCCCAGGCCCTGCAAGAAGACAGAAGGGCCGCCCTTCAGCCCAGACCCTGGGGCAGACAGGATCGGGCCTCCGCAGCTAGGAGCCCCTGTCTGCAACTCAGCCCAGGTGGGCAGAATCCTGAGGTTTGGCTCAAGTCCAGCCTGGGCGCCTGGGAGCACAGTATGGAGAAGGTTCTGGGGTGCAGGGGTCAGCAGCCTTCTTCCCCACGCAGATGAGATTGAGCCTCCGCTCGCGTTCCCCAAGAGGCCCCTGGTGTGGGAGGAAGACATGGAGCTCTACTCCAAGTTCCTGGACCGGAAGGTGAGGGGGGCTGCGCCCAGCCGAGACCTCCATTTCCTCCCGACTCATCTCAATGTGCCTGACCAACGCGTCCCGGGGGAGCGGGGTTGAGATCCATGTGGGTGTCCGGTCCGGTCCGGCCCTAGGCGGGCTCAGGTCCGCCCCGCGCCCCCAGGAGCAGCTCCGGCTGGGCCACGCTGGCTACCTGCGGCAGCACCCCGACGCCCAGGCTGTCGTCTCCGACTTCCTGCTCTTCCTGCTGGTGCGCCAGCCCCGGGACGCCGTCACCTTTGCCGCTGAGTTCTTCGGCTTCTTCGCCACCAACTGCACGCCTCCCCCGGCCTTGCGCTCCTCGCACCCTCCCAGCCCTTTCCGCCCGCAGGGCCCTAAAGACGGTGACCAATCCGGGACGGGCTAGGCGGCCTGCGCTCCTGCAGGAAGGGGGCCCCGGGGGAGCGCGAGTCCCAGCCGCAGCTCTGCTGCGCCAGCAGGGACTGCCCCTGGCCGGCGTCTGGTGCCTTGAGTCAAAAAAATACACCAACTAGGAACTGTTAACTGATCGGGCGAGTTTCGGTCTTTCTTCCCAGCTGCTTGTTTCGGCATTATCCTCACTGCACAGAAACAGAAGCTGTAGACCGGTTGGCGCGAAGGGAAGCAGGGTTCGAACACTCACTGCAGGTCACAGGTAGCAGGGAAGGAGGTCAGGCCCTTGGCACACGGAATCGGCACCGATTACTTTCAGCACATTTGTGCTCAACCCAAGGAAAAGAATATGACAAGGGACGCACTCAAACGCCCAGGCCTTGCCCTGCACCTTTGCGTCCGGGTACCGGATCCCACGGACACCCTGGAACCCCCAAGCTGCGCAGAGGGCCCTGAATCACTGGGTTGAGGGGGGGGGGTGTACAAGCGCCTCCTTGAGGCTGTTGCTTGACGTCAGCGCTGGCCAGTGGCCTGTGTCTGCCTCAGGTTCCCCTGAGGCTGGGGGTGCAGGTTCCTCGCCTCCCCATCTACATCTATGCATTCACTAGACTTGCTGCTGTAAGGGGCGTGATCCAGGGTTTGGATGCTGGGGGACAGTACCAGCCGGACCCACAAGGCCGGGGTGTGGGTGACATCTTCGACTCAGAAAAGAACTCAAAAAGACTTCATGGAAAACCACATGGAGTTAAAACCTGGGGTGGTGGCTCACATTTGTAATCCTAGCACTCGGGAGGCTGAGGCAGGAGGATCATTGTGAGTCTGAGACCAATTTGGGCTACAAAGTGAGCTCAAAGGCCAGCCTGAACTGCCAGTGAGACCTTGTCTCAAAAGACAAAAACAAAACAAAACTACAGAGTTGAACCTTGCAGAATTTTAAAAATAAATCTCTTATTGTCCCCTCCCTTATTAAAAAAATACATGTTTACAGGTAAAGGTGATATAGAGGAATGAAACTCCCAACCTACTGTATGTCTGGTATGAGTTCGTGTTCTCTAAAATTGAAGAATGAATTTTAGGAACAATGGAGGTTGTTAACAAAATATATTTATTAAGAGAAAGCTGTCTGAGGGACAGAAAGAGTCCCATGCCGGTTGCCAAAGACTGTCTTTTCTATGGACTTTTATAGAATAAAAGCTCTGGGTGAGATGGGTCCAAGCTGGGGAAAAATGGGAACTCACAAGGTGGACATAAGGTGTGATGAACTGTGGCCAACCAGTAAGATTACTCAAGTAAAACTGATCAAATACAGCAGTGACTCTTCCTGTAGGGGGTTGAGCCTGTCTCCTCAGAGGGCACAAAGTATCTGAACTTCTGCACTGGCTCCTTTCAGGGCATAGCCCTATCTGACTGCCTATAATATTTCTAACTAACTCAGCTGCCTGAAACACAGGGGAAAAAGACAAGATGACAGAATCAACTCAGTCTCTACTTTGAGGCAGCTACTCCTAATATTTTGGCAAATAACTCCTTCTTTTCTCCGTGTGAACCCAGCCACTATTCATTGAGCTTTTACTCACTCGATCTTTTTTCTAATTACTAGTCTGGTCTTTATAAGTCCCAGAAACATTATTTTAACAGAAATTAAGTCATAAGTAGAGTATATTGGGGCATGCGTATAATCCCAGCATTGGGAGGTTGAAGCAGGAGGATTGAAAGACCAAATCCCAACCGAGTGTGGTGGCTCATGCCTGTAATCCCAGCATTTGAGAGGTTGAGGCAGGAGGATTGTTGGGAGTTCGAAACCAGCCTGGGCTACAAAGTGAGCTCCAGGCCAGCCTGAACTGCATAGAGACCCTGTCTCAAAAAGATAAAAAAAAAAGAAAGAAAGAAAGGCCAAGTCCAGCCTGGACTATTTAGGAAGATCCTGCCTTAAAAGCAAACAGAGAAAAATGAAAATTATATGGTGCTATATGCTCATGAATTGGTAACTGAATAATTATGTTACTGAAAACTGTCAGGAGTTACAGAGGAAGTCTCCCTGGTTTCCATTCCAGTCACACACAGTTTATTCATCTGTTGTGCCCAGCTTTGTTTAACTTGCAATGTATTATGAAAATATTTTCATATCACTACAGTCTTTGGGGGGTGCACTGAGGAGCCAACCCAAGGCCTTGTGTGAACTAAATATGTGCTGTACCACTGAGCTACACCCCCCAGCTCTATTTGTTTATTTAGTACAGGGGATTGAACCCAGGGCCTTTGCACTGAACTACATCCTCAGCCCCTTTTTTTTTGGTTTGAGATAAGATCTTGCTGAATCACCAAATAGCCTGGCTAGGCTCAAATTTTCTTTTTAGAAATTTGTGTTTTTATTTGCTTTTTTTTTTTTTTTTTTTTTTTTTTTTGGTACCAGGGATCAAACTCAGGACCTCACGCTTGCCAGGCAGTCACTTATGCCACCGAGCTAAGTTCCCGGCCCCAGGCTCAAATTTTCAATGCTCCAGCCTTGGTCTCCCATATAGCTGAGATTACAAGCATTGATCACTGGCCTCAATGTTCTATTTTTCTTGACTATACCATAATCCAACTAATCTCTATTTTTGTTAGTGTAAACAGTGCTGCACTTTGGACAGATCCCTATAGCTACATCTGCTAAGATCAACAGTTATTTCCTTAAAGATTGTGGAATTGTTGATTTCAAAGTTTTTGTCTATGTGTGTGTGTGTGTGTGTGTGTGCAGTGCTGGAGATTAACCTAGGGCTAAAGTATGTTAATCAAGTGTTCTTTTCAAACAAGGCTTGCTATTGTGGCTTTCCTAACAGTCTCCTGCCCTGTGCTCTCCAGGCTGTATTTTCCTCTTTTTTTTTGGTGTCAGGACTCTCACTCAGGACCTTGCGCTTGTCAAGCAGGCACTGTGCTGCTGCTGAGCTGACCGGCGCAGCCCCCCAATGAGACAGAGGACGCTCTTGTGGGTAACAGGTAACTGCCGCTTTATTGACGCAGGCTCTGGCTTATATACTCGGCCGTGACCAATCACAGGCTGCCACAAGGAGGCAGGGTTGGGATGGAATGCGGGCTCTGGCCAATATACCCAGCTGTGGTCAATCAGGGGTTGCCACAGAGTACGGAATGAGCACGAGGTACGCGCGGGGTGGCTAATTTGGAGAGGGACGCAGCGCATTGCGGAAGCTGACGTGGTCTTATCCTCCCGGGCGGGGTGTGTTGAGCGCCTGCGCCCGACATTGAGCTAAATCCCTAGCCTTATTTTTCCTTTTTTACTCAGCCCAAGTTCATTCGGCAGAGCCAGTTTCTCTCACTCTTCACTTTTACTTTGCAAACTTTGTAACTTTTTTTATTTGCTCATTTTGTTCACTTCTTTGAGGATAAAAGAACCTGGAATCCAACTCTAGATGGAGAGGAGAACCCAAAACTCCGTAACATATATTCAGTGAGCCAATTTTAGGAGACTGCCCGGTAAATAGTTTTACTTTTATTTAAATCAATTAACACCGGGCTGGTGTCTACCTATGGATGGCGAGGCCCAGCTCTAGGGGAGGCACTGAGCTCCTCCCAGCAGGCAGAGCTCCTTTCACAAGCTAGGATTGTTCTGGGCAACAGGAACTCAACACTGGTAGGCCCATGGTCCCTGTCCTTATGAAGCTTGGGTAGCATGGGGAAATGAGCAATCCGTAGATGTGGTCATTTCCTGGGTGACTTTCAGATCCCTGAAAGTCGTGGCCAGCAGGTTGATGGGCTCTGAGTCTCAGCTGAGCTGGGGCCCCAGCGCTTAGGAATCAGATCTGAGCAAAGCAGAGGGAACACTTTCCAGGCGGAGGAAGCCAGCAGAGAGACAGGAGATGAAGATATTTAGTCATCCTGAGTGCTTCGGGCCCACCCGAGCCAGGGGCCACTGTTGGGAGCCACAGCCCCGAGCCCGGTCGCCTCACTTGGCGGACGTGAGGCCTGTAGTAAAGAGTGAAGCCTGAGGTAGATTGCCCCTCCCATCGAGCACGTTAGTTTCCTGCTTACCGGGTAAGCAACCCGCTCAACAATATAGTCTGCCTGGCAACTGATGATGTTAGCCAATCAGCTTGCCTTGCTTACTTTAACATGATTGGACACTGTACCCGTATATATACCGGTGCCACCCCTGGGCGGAAGAAGAAGCCAGGTAGAAGCCCGGAAGTAGAAGCCCAGAAGGAGCCGCGGAGAGCGGACCGGTAGAGGCTTCGGAGCGAAGCCCGGAAGGAGCCGCGGGGAGCGGACCAGAGGAGGCTTCGGCTGGGAGCGATCCCAGGGCAGGCTGTACGGAGAAGGAAAATAAAAAGAAAAGGTTGTCCACTACCAGACTTTGTCGTGTGTCCTTCCTGCCGGCCGGGAGCGGACATCGACAGGCCACCTACAACCAAAAGCAAGGCTGACTCAGCCAAGCACCAGCATCCAGCTAGGTCCTGAGCCCTGCAGCAGCAGGGGAAGGGGAAGGAGCCACGTCCACCCCACCCAGGCTCTTCCTCTGCACAGCTCTCTTGCCCAGAACAAGTGGGCCACTTCCCTGTTCCCCTGCCATTCATTTCAAAAGCGCTTCGCACTTCGTTTGGGTTGGGTTGTTTCTGTTTTTTGAGACAGGGTTAAGGTTAGGGTTAGGGTTAGGGTTAGGGTTAGCTATGTAATTGAGGCTGATCTTGAACTCTGGTGATCTTTCCTGCCTCACCCTCCAGAGCGCTTGGATTACAGGCATTCACCACCATGCCATGTGATGTTCTTGAAATAAGAAAAAAAACCCACCTGTTGAGCTCACCTGGAGCGCCTGGCACCTGGGATGCCACAGTGGGCCCCTGCGTGGCTCAGTGACTGGGTGACCCCACGCCACTGTGTAAGGGCAGACTCTGGGAAGTGCTGAGCAGGGAACCTATCCATGCAGGGGGAGGAGGGTCAGAGCACAAACTTGGCTGAGTGCAAGGCCAGAAAGGCAGAGGTACAATGGTAACCTCGGGGTCAGGTGGAGTCCCATGCTAGAGGGCTTGCCTAGCTTGCACAAGGTTCTGGGTTTGGGCCCCAGCACTGCAAAAATTAACAAGCATTAATGATAATAGGAGGAAATCCTTAATTTCCATGATTCCCGCAGAACCCCTAAAT